AAATGAAAGTGCTCAATGCAATTTACCATGCAAAACTGAAATCTAAGATGGGTGCCGCTACCAAATGGCTGAACAGTTTCCAGCTAAGTACAATTATATCATGGGCTTCTACAATACATAGAATGCAGGGCAGCACTGTGGATCACGCAGTCGTATACTTAGGTGCGAAACTGTTTGAAGGAGGTCAAGCCTATGTGGCTCTTAGTCTAGTAAGACCTTTGTAGGGACAACGTATAGAGTGTTGGACTGCAATAAACTAACGGGCAAGAAACCTTGCAGTAATAAAGCATAAAATGAATTAAACAGAATGTGAAATAAAAAAAGACTAAAAACTTGAAAATAAAAATAGGTAAAACAGCTGTTTAAGTTAAACGGTTTTATGTTAAACATTCATTGCAATGTTTAAGATAAATGTACTAAAAACCAAAAAATAATAAAATATAGATTTAGTTGTGGGAATTATAAACATATGCATAGACTAGACTAAAATAAAACCGTGGAGCACGTCAATTGTCTACAAATGACAACTTAACGTGCGACAGAAGACGGTGAGGAAATTACATACTATTTTCTTGCTCATGAAAATTCCAATGATAAAGGTACTACTCCATATGATAAAAGTACTACTCGCTCACCATTATGAAGCTTGTAAAGCTTCATTATAAGCGAGTTTTAGGGTTTTTTATTTCCACATTCTAGCCCTACTCATCACCCGTCCATCGTAGTAGTAGTACAGTATTTTTTATTTAAACATATCAAATTCTTTACAGTGTGTGTAATATTAAATTAAAATTTTTTGTAATATTAAATAAAACAAGTAAGCAAAGGCTACAGCCGAGCGGGGCCAACCGTTGAATACCCTACAACACTATAATAAACGATACAGTTTATATAGGGGGGATACCCGAAAGAATTCCACAAGATATTGTGACAAATAATAAAAGAAAACCAACAGGTTCCGTTCTCTAATTTTCGAATAATAGCAACTTAAACTAATTTGCTCATTTCCAATTCATTGGTAGATGTTGCACGTAAATGGTCTTCCTAGATCTGGAACCAATATTTCCCAAAGACCTATAATCTCTCAGAAGTAGCAAAAGATTAGCATTTATCATTGGTTTTTGACTGTAACGCATCTATATGAGATACAGACATTTGATTATATTCTTCAACGAAATCAGCGTTAACGAAATAGTCAGAAGTGCGTCTTTCCTGTATTTGTGAATTCTCCAAAAAGTCACTGGAATGGACATTTTCGTATTTTGTCTACAAAAGTTGGCAAACTATTTCACACATTGAATATTTTTGGAGGGCCATCCGAAACTGCTTGGCTTTTGCAATGTCCGGTAACCCCCATTCAAATGTGCGTGAGGATCGGGCGATAATTACGACCTGCTGACAATTTTGCAGTTTTTTGGTCCATTTCAACCCCTAAATATATGGCGATCATTTCCAAAAAGAATAGGCTTTTATTCTGACCCTCATCTTATCTCCATGCAAAATTTCGTAAGGATCGGGGCATAAATGCGATCTGTATATGATATCCTAACTACTTAGTTTTGTTAGCTGTAGAAATATTACCAAATGAATTCAAAATGAAAATATGCCAAAAATATGACAAAATTGAAAAAATATGAGAAAATTTTACAAAATCAATATTTTCATCTTTAGAGAGATTTGTTTATGCGATTTTTTTAGACGTTTTTTCTTTCCTGCCTAGAGGCCATTCTGAATTAATAAGAACTGTCGAAATCAGTTCAGCCGTTCTCGACATATAAGAGATTTTTCAAGCATATCTTCTTTGATAAACATATATATCGCACATATTTTGCTATATATCTGATTTGTTGGATGTTAACATCAATGTAAAGATCAGAAGTAACCTTGTCATGGCTTTGTGATTTCGCCGGGATTTAAAATATTCGCGGTTTAATGAAATATTTTGAATTTTTTCAACACAAAAGATATAGTCTTTTTTACCCGCTAAATATTATCCGATGACCACCCAAATTGGTAGGCTTCTTCCCCGCCCTAAACTCTAGCTACATGCGAAATTCCGCGTCAATTGGTCTATAATTGCGACCTGTATAGCTACTGCAAAATTCGACATTTTTTCAGCATTTGGTCCATTTCAACCCCTAAACATTTGGCGATCATCTCCAAAAGAAATAGGCTTCTATTCTGACCCTAACCCCACCTTCGTGCAAAATTTCGTAAGGATCGGGCCATAATTGCGACCTGTAGCGTGATTACAAATTAACATGGACAGACGGACGGACGGACATACATAGCTAGATCGACTCAGCTCGGCGAGCTAGGAAGATCCATATATACTTTCCTATATGGGAAACCAATATTTCGAGGTGTTACATAAATTCTGGCCCAATCAAACTTATAATACCCCCAACACATAGTGTTGTAGGGTATAAAAATTAGATATATAATATCAATAAGACAATAGCCTATGGCTGTCTGTCTGCAGCTAATGTTGTAACCTTTTTATTATTATTTTTAAAGACATTGTTTGAAAATACAAATTGGAATTGTAAAGTTAAATTCAGATAATAGCCGATTTCTATATTGTGTACAAATTTTTATAAAACTTGCGACATATTTCCAATTTACAATATATCCATTTAAAATATTTATAAGGTCATCTTCCTTAAGCAGTGTCTTTTTGAAGAACATAATTCTAAATTCTTTAAATATGGGGCAGTTACTAAGAAAATGTTGAAGATTTTCAGCTTCCATCAAGTTACATAAAGAGCAGAGTGGGTTCCAATTTGCATCTACATTATTGAGATTAAGTTTGATGTTAGTTTGACCTACTGATGGGTCTAGCTTCGAGTAAATTCGGGTCGTTTGATTGGCTCTATTTATGGCATCGCACCAATATTTGTAATCTAATGTCTTTAGGGGTGATCTTTTTTTTCCACAACTTCGCTTTTGGTACTATTTAAATTAAATGGATCGATATTGTTTTGCATTAAGAGTGCACGAATATGCTTCGCCCAGTAAATGTCTTTTTGCAGAACTATTTTCGCCAGTTTGTGAGGTAATCGGTTGAACAACTGCCTAATAATAGTGTAACATTACAAAACCAACATTTTAATCAACGATTGTAGACAATCGACGTGCCCCACGGTTTTATTTTAGTCTGGTCTATGCACATGTTTATAATTCGCACGACTGTATCTAATTTATTATTTTTTGGTTTTTAGTAGATTTTTCTTAAACATTGCTTTGTATGTTTAACATAAGACCGTTTAACCTAAAACGTTTTTTACCTATTTTTATTCTAATGAGCACTAGGCTGAACAATCCTTCAAGCAGAGATGTAGTAAATAGGATTCGAGATTACCATTGCGGCTAGTCCGATGGAATATGTGCTTGGAACATACAAAAATACCAAAATCCGTGAGATACCCCTGCAGGGAGGCCATCCGAAAACGACAAACAATTCAGACCATCTACAAATTTAGCGAAGAAAGAGTGCTTTCCACGGACAAACTTAAATTGGTATGCTGGACGAGAATCAGGATTATTTTGGGGAGGTATAAACGACATGTCTAAGCGTATACATCTTTTGGCAATAGGTGGATGGTACCGCCCATACTATATTGCCTCTAGGTGGGAAATTCGATTGTATTTGTTAGTTATCGAAGTGGAAGGTTTTCTTAGTTAAATCAGTGTAAACGTTTGATTCGATGGTTAGCAAAAAGTAAAACAAACTTTACGGGGCACATCCTTATAACGAAATATGGTTTGGGTGTGCTCCAGTGCATTTGACAATGGATGGTCCTTTATTGGATCACTTTTTTGTTGTTGTGCGAAATCGCCAAACAAAATTGTCTACCAATTGCGATTCAATATTGCTTCAGATCGAATGGGCATTTATTAATTTGCTTTTAGCAAACATTCAATTGGCATGCAATTGTTTAACTGTTGGATATTAATTGCTTCCGATTTTTGGTCATTTAAGCACTAAACTCAGGAAATTCTTTGTCATGTGATATCCTCATTTAAAGTGAAGTAGCTGGTAAAATAAATGTGCGTGGCAGGATCCTCACAAGTCCATGAACGGACGTTTGGCAGACCATGGTGTTTGTCGCTACCACATGGCATTGCGATGTGGTAAGTCGGCAAGAGACAGCGACACCCCTATCGCAACAAACACCCCCCCCCCCCATTTGGTTTTTTCGACTGACAAATAAATAAATATTTGATATTCATGATAAACCCCATTAAGCGGACAAAGTCCAATTGATGACATCGTTCTAACAACCAGTATCCTACCTCTTTGCCCATCACCGCCCACAACGCAGACAAGTTCGTACGGCGGCAACAAACTGTCTGGCCATTTTAACGTTAATTGACAATTGATTACAATCAATTGCTTGACATAAAAAGAAAAGGAGAAGGAAGCGGAATGGGCCAAGTCTTAGGCGGATGTTACTGTTGGAGGGGGTGGAAAACAAAAGCAACAAAAGCAGGGGGTGGAAAACAAAAGCATATTCCAGGGAACCAACCAAACAAACATCGACTTCAGGATATGCTAAACGCGTGGTATCAAGGGATCAGACGTGCCGTCGAGAGGAAGGCGAATAGACGACATGGCCATACGCACTTGCGATTGCTGTTTAATACGCCATAATGGACGATGTTCATACCTGCAACGCAGGACAGGCAATTATACGAAAGGGGCAAACACCGAAAGAGAAAAGTCAGTTGACAAGTCAGCAGTGAGCTCGGTGGCTTCACACGAAAATGTTTCTATGACTGCAACATGACGTACAATTCAACAGGAGGCTAAGAGAAAGAAACACCCAAGGTTAAGAGAGACAGAGAGAAAGGACAGAAGAGAACGGAAAGAGACCGTTATTCGGAGTTACTCCGAAGGCTGAAAGGATTTTATTCATTTCCATAGCACTGGACTCGTGTTTGTGCGCAAGGCAGTCGCCATGTAGAGTTACCCGAATATATTGAGTAGTCCGAAGGCATTTCGCTTCAGTTTACATTTTACCGTAGTGCAGAACGTTTAAACGGAATCCAACTGTACAAATGTACCCACCCATCTGTTTGTGTTTCCCTCGCCACATTAAAAGAATCTGAAATTGCTCGAGTGGTGTTGGAATTTAAAAGCCGGTAGTGAAAAAACCTTTCCCAGTGGGCACTTAATTGGCCAAAACAACAGTTCGAAAAAGTACAAAATCTCTAAAACCCGACGAAAACAAATAATCTCCAACAAAAACAACAACGCGATATGAAAGTCGACGTCGGCAACGGAAATCGTTTTGCTAAATTGCAACTGCAGCGCCAATAAACAAGGATTATTTACGAAGTATGTTTCCATTCGACCACAAGAGTACACACCAATACACACACACACACACACACCTACCACCCCTCTACAAACCAATTCATCACATCAAAGTAGGGATAAAACATTTTGACTTGTTTACTTTGTGAGTCATACCAAAACGGATCGGTTCGTTCGTCCGAATCGAAACATATTCAGAATATCCTGCTACCTATCATCGAATACTTTAAGCGTGGTCTTTTTTTAAGATTTTATTGAAAAAGATCGGCCGAAAAGTAAGTGCGATTTCCTCCGGGCCTTGTCACCTGTGTTTATACATACGTATCGTCGGTCGTAGAACGATTTTATCATTCTTAATCAGACACTTGACCACCGTGTGTAGGGGTCTAAACCCCCATCACCTCGCAGTTTTCCGACTGCAGGACCCATGTTCAATTCAAATCATTTGCTGGTACTTGGAATAACTAGTGTATCAATGAACGGTGTTACGAACAAGTCTGGCAAAGGGGCCTATGACTACGATCTCGGTATGACTACGATCTATCTAAGATCTAATTTCACTTTGCAAGGTAAAAAGGACAAAAGTTGTTCCGTGGTACAGAGCCCTGGTACATTTGTTGAACGATGACAATGTGTTGCTGCAGTTGTATTAACGACAACTTCGCTCTTTTGCTGTGTCGGGTGATTTCTCGGGGTCTGTGCAACACACACCCAAACATAATGGCCTCGATTCATTGTCATGTTCGCCTTTGAGTTTGTTGCTTTAGACGAATATGAATTGAATTTCCCATGCGGCTCTTCTCGTTTCACCTAAAATGTGGAAAAAAACATACATTTTAAAGCCGTAATTCGCCACTCCACAAACCCCACCGCCCCCACAATGGTCGTTCCACTCCCATAACCGCAATCATCAACGAAATTATCTTCATCGACCTCGTTCTCGTCCCGTTTTCTGTCCCGTCCCGTCACCGCCATCGTCGTGCTCATCGCCACACTCGTCTCTATAGTCCGGGCACTATACCAGACCAAGAATAATTAAAATGCGGTCTGGTCTGGTCTGGTCTGCTCAGTGTGTGTGTGGTGTGTCAATGTTTGCTTGGAAACGGATGTGCGTGTGGCTGTTTACACATACCTACCAACCCACCTATTTATATTTAATAATAAAATGTTGAAAACAAAAACCTAAACTACAACAACAACAAACAAACCGTACTTTAATAGAGGCACGAATTACAGAAGAAGAACGAAACGACTCTTTGTTCTAGGCCAGAGTCCATTGAAAGCTTTCAGATTTTCCGCCACCACCAAAGCGAACTTCTAAAACTTTGAAAACCATTGAAGAAGAAAATCAATATAAATAATTAAAGGTTTTCAAGGATGTTTGGAGCACCGCGCCGCCAGCGAACTACAATTTTCCACGCCACGTCAGGCAATAAAAAATTCATATTCAAGGAGAAAAGCCAACCATCCGCGCACTGTAGAATTTTCCTATTAACACACACACACACACGTACACACAGACAACCCAATTGTTTCCGCATAGATACTTTTTAGTTATTATGTACAATTGTACGTTCGTATGATTGAATGTGTGTATGTGTGAGATTTTCCGATTCAAGCATTCATGCACACCTACAGAATCACGAAAAGGAGTCGCACTGCATGTGTGTGTAGACACGCAAAGCATTTGTCTACTTGCGGTACACACCGTGGACAAGTACTATATCCATGGGATCAAAACAAATGACAACAGGCCGCAGTCCCGCCTGCTGTCATGATGGGCAATTACAACAAAGACTTGCATCGTAGACCCAATGATAATACTTTAGATCAGATGATTTGCTCAGGGATCAGATTGGATGATTTGATCAAGATTAAAAAAAAAAACATGATAGCAACCTATGTGGACCTTAGGAGAATTGAATATTGCTCCTGATTTAGGGTTTTTATTGTGTCCTATTCAAAACCCCTAACATAAATTGCAGCATAGATATTGATATATCGCCGTAATTGAGATTGGAAACAGTTCTTTGCAACAAAAATAACAACAATATCCTTTTGATCAGGATGAAATAAATCCTATAGCGAGTTAAAAAGGAAGGAATCGTGAAAGCATCGAAGGTTCCAATCTGTATTTCATTCCGAGGGCAGCCATATGGGTATATGTCATATACAGAGGGTATATGTCATTTGATACGGCCAAAACGTGTCTCATCGAAATAACGGTTATAGACCCTATGTCTCCTTGGACCAAATCCGTTTCAGGACATTTGCAGTCAATTTAGGGATGTCCGTCTGTTTGTCTGGCTGGTGTTTACAATAACTCTCGAAGGGAGTATCCGATTTTATCCAATCATGGTACAGTTCGGAGATGGGCAATATCGGTCCAATACCAATACAATATGGGCAATACCTCCCCACTAAAGGTCAACATTTTTACTGAAAATAATTTAACGTATACAACACTGTAGGATCATCTAATTTTGTGAAAACTTTCCAAATCCCAATATTTGTATCAGTTCACTCTAACATATACCTCCCACATAAAGTGCACACTACAGTATTTTTACAGACAAAAGATCGGGTGTGAACATGGAAAATGTCGGTCTACTCCAAAGGTCCACTCACAAAGGGTCAAAATGTTGAATAATCAAAACGCTTATAAATGCGATTCCCTTCAAATTTCACACATCCTAATATCTCTATTAACACAAGATCTGTGATAGATACCGACCCACCCTTTCTGGTATGGAATATCCCCCACAAAGGATCACAATTTTCAATATTTATGTCTCTAATAATTTGCGAAACAAGTCAGCGATTCTTTTAAAACTAGTAACCTGGGATCTGATGTGATTATAGAATTCATCGAATCACTCTTTCCGTTACCTCCCCATAAAATGTTTAAATGTTGATTAATTATTCGCATAAATTCGGAAATAAATGTTAGATGCTCATCCCAATATTTGTTTTTAGTAATAGATGAAGTGGAATACTTCGGTCCACTTTATCTGGTACCTCAGGCACATTTCTCGTGTAAAGGTGAATGAAGTAGTCGGTGTAGCCCAAATCCGGATACATTTATATCAGACTTAGGTCAGTTACGAAATGGACAACATTGACCCACTCGTTTGGAACCTCAACCATAAAGGGTCTACAGTTTGGATAATCGTAACGCTTGTCGAAATATATTTAAACGAACAGTGGCTGAGGGAATACATCTGTCGGTTATACCGACAGATACTTTTTAAATTGTTTTGGTATTTTTTCGTAATGCTTATCATTTTGCACCATGCTGCATAGCCAGCTAATTAAAGACCGGCGGAAATCGCTCTTAAATTGGCATCTGTGTGTGTGTGTGTGTGTGTGTGTGTATGCCCAACATAGAACGCGAAATAAAGAAAACGTGCCACAAAATAACAATAACAATAAGGACAACATCAAATGGCCACAAACACCATTACCGTCTTGGGAGACAAGAACGAACAAGAACACAGTAAGCGTCGTGGATGCCACTGCCGCCTGTGAATGCGATGCAGTTGAATAATCTTTGACAAGTGACTGTCCGAGTCCCCTTAACCTCCCGAGATATGTAGGAATAGCGGTGAAATCTAAGCAATGCAAATATAAAACAAATTAAAACGCGACGAAGCAAACAATCCGACAACCTCCAACAAACCGGTGCACCAGGATCTCATAATCAAATCTCATTTGTGGCACAACGACAACGATTGTTCGCGTAAATTATTCATTGGCATGTTGTTGTCATAACGCAGGACCACAGTTACCTACAAATCTGTCGTGCCCCACCATTTCTTCGAGTGATTTATGGTCTTCGTTAGCGCCATTTCAATCTAATCACTGCTGCTGCTGTGCGGGCCGGAAGACGAAGGACGTTTCGCCACTCCAGTGAAAACCTGTTTATTGGTAAGTGAATGATATTTATGGGAGACCGTCCCCACACGAACCGAAACAGAAGGGCTCCAGCGTCCTCCTCCTTCGAAGTCCTTTTTCCGTAAGTGCCCGTGGGTGGAATGAGCTGCGAGAATCATTATCTGGATTGGTAATTTGTGATGTCGCGGATCATTAACTGCGTAACATGTTTTCCGACAATCTCCTCCGTGCGAGGGACGATGGAGGTGAGGACATTCTTTTTTCGAAAGCTATAGAAAAAGGGGAAATGGAAAAAGGTTAAGGGACGATAGATTTTGTTCGATACCGACCACTTGAACTATGCCGATGGTTGTATAAACCTCTTAACTTTTTGTTCTCGAAAATGTTTCCATCGCAAAATAGACGAACGGTTGTTTCCGTGACTTATCGTGACGTCCTAAGAAAGATCAACCTTCGGCGCCAGTATCAGCATCATATTCGAATAAAAATGAACTGAGTGATGTGGTTCTGGGCAAAATTTAACATCATTTACGAGACCTAGTCCTTGTCGGGGACACATGATGACTTGTATGCCCCTGAAATATGAAATCGGATGGAACTTGCATTTGTCGAAGTAGGGCTTCATCGTAATCCGCAACGATGTCAGTAAAATTTCTTTCTTGCCACTGTATAATATGAAATAATAGCCTTGTAGGACGGAGCTTTATCCAGACGACAACAGGTTTTTTTTAAATATTTGTATGTGGCACGCCACAAGATGGGGGCATGTATGTTCATTTTTCCACTTTGTTTGCAACACGTAAGGAGCCATGAAGTATATACTTTGGTTCAGCATAAGGTTGTTAAACAATTTGTCTATTTATGTCAGTTTGCAAAGTCTACCTTTTTATAGGGTTGCATATGTTTAGCAGTTCTTCCTGCAATGTAGGACTTAAAAATTGTTGAAGGATTTAGAACATCTTTCTTCGCCCAACTTGGTTTTTTTGGTGTTCGCAAAAATCAATCTGAATTAGCTGTGGCTTTGTATATTGTAAAATCTTAATGAGTAGAACATCTCCTCCCAGAATTGTTTAAAATAAGTGTGGCCGCACATAGTATGATAAGAAAAATGTTAAACTAAATTAACGAAGTTCGGTTTCCTAGACATACACATAGAGATAAGACATTACGGATGCGAGTAATATTTACACCGAATGGATGTACCTTTATTGTAACGGCCTCGGGACAACACAGCTAACAATGTAATATACACATTTTGAAATGCTACTCTATGAGGGTGTTTCTGCCTTCGTTAGAGCAAAAGCATTTTCCAAAGTCCGAACAGTTTTTTCCCTTTTCAGAAATACTAGTGGGTGCATTATTTTTCAAATTATTTTCAAATCCTCTTGATGTAGAAATACAAAATCAATTCATGCAAAAAATTATCTAAAGTCGTTAGTTCTTCTTAATTTTATCATAATCGTTTGCGGAATGAGACACAACTGTAGAGTAGTTTTTTTATTCGAGAACCATTGGAGCGAATTATGTACCGTCTGAAATCCAAATAAGATTTAAATGCACCACTTACGAAGAGTTTCCAGATATTGCAACAAACGCCTTCTTGTTTGAGTCCGGTATTTCCTTCCCATTGGAGGGCGTGGAGGGCATTAATTGAGAAAAATACGACACCATGAATGTAAATAATATTGTTTCGTTTTGTCATTTATTTTTTATTTATTTTTATACCCTACAACACTATGTGTTGGGGGTATTATAAGTTTGATTGGGCCAAAAATTATGTAACACCACGAAATATTGGTTTCCCACATAGGAAAGTATATATGGATCATCCTAGCTCGCCGAGCTGAGTCGATCTAGCTATGTATGTCCATGTTAATTTATAATCATGTTAATTTGTAATCCATGTTAATTTGTAATCACTCTACAGGTCGCAATTATGGCCCGATCATCACGAAATTTGGAATGGAGGTCGGGGTTGGGCCAGAATAGAACCCTATTTCTTTTTGAGATGATCGCCAAATGTTTAGGGGTTGAAATGGACCAAATACTGAAAAAATGTCGGATTTTGCAGTAGCTATACAGGTCGCAATTATAGACCAATCGACGCGGAATTTCGCATGTAGCTAGAGTTTAGGACGGGGAAGAAGCCTACCAATTTGGGTGGTCATCGGATAATATTTAGCGGGTAAAATAGACCCTATATTTTTTTTTGTTGAAAATATTTTAAATCCCGGCGAAATCACAAAGCCATGACAAGGTTACTTCTGACCTTTACATTGATGTTAACATCCAACAAATCGGATATATAGCAAAATATGTGCGATATATATGTTTATCAAAGAAGATATGCTTGAAAGATCTCTAATATGTCGAGAACGGCTGAACTGATTTCGACAGTTCTCATTAATTCAGAATGGCCTCTTGGCAGGAAAGAAAAAACGTCTAAAAAAATCGCATAAAAATACCTCTCTAAAGATGAAAATATTGATTTTGTAAAATTTTCTCATATTTTTTCAATTTTGTCATATTTTCATTTTGAGTTAAACATTTGGTAATATTTCTACAACTAACAAAACTAAGTAGTTGAGATATCAGGATATCATATACAGATCGCATTTATGGCCCGATCCTTACGAAATTTTGCATGGGGATAAGATGAGGGTCAGAATAGAAGCCTATTCTTTTTGGAGATGATCGCCATATATTTAGGGGTTGAAATGGACCAAAAAACTGCAAAATTGTCGGCAGGTCGTAATTATCGCCCGATCCTCACGCACATTTGAAAGGGGGTTACCGGACATTGCAAAAGCCAAGCAGTTTTGGATGGTCATCCAAAAATATTCAATGTGTGAAATAGTTTGCCAACTTTTGTAGACAAAAACGAAAATGTCCATTCCAGAGACTTTTTCGAGAATTCACAAATACAGGAAAGACGCACTTCTGACTATTTCGTTAACGCTGATTTCGTGGAAGAATATAGTCAAATGTCTGTATCTCATATAGATGCGTTTCAGTCAAAAACCAATAATAAATGTTAATCTTTTGCCACTTCTGAGAGATTATAGGTCTTTGGGAAATATTGGTTCCAGATCTAGGAAGACCATTTAAGTGCAACATCTACCAATAAATTGGAAATGAGCAAATTAGTTTATTCGAAAATTAGAGAACGAAACCTGATGGTTTTCTTTTATTATTTGTCACAATATCTTGTGCAATTCTTTCGAGTATCTCGCCTATATAAACTGTATCGTTTATTATAGTGTTGTAGGGTATTCAACGGTCGGCCCCGCTCGAATGTAGCCTTTGCCTACTTAAACTTTGCAACTTAAACTAATTTGCTCATTTCCAATTTATTGGTAGATGTTGCACTTAAATGGTCTTCCTAGATCTGGAACCAATATTTCCCAAAGACCTATAATCTCTCAGAAGTGGCAAAAGATTAACATTTATTATTGGTTTTTGACTGAAACGCATCTATATGAGATACAGACATTTGACTATATTCTTCCACGAAATCAGCGTTAACGAAATAGTCAGAAGTGCGTCTTTCCTGTATTTGTGAATTCTCGAAAAAGTCTCTGGAATGGACATTTTCGTATTTTGTCTACAAAAGTTGGCAAACTATTTCACACATTGAATATTTTTGGATGACCATCCAAAACTGCTTGGCTTTTGCAATGTCCGGTAACCCCCTTTCAAATGTGCGTGATGATCGGGCGATAATTACGACCTGCCGACAATTTAGCAGTTTTTTGGTCCATTTCAAACCCTAAATATATGGCGATCATCTCTAAAAAGAGTAGGCTTCTATTCTGGCCCTCATCTTATCCCCATGCAAAATTTCGTAAGGATCGGGCCATAAAAGCGATCTGTATATGATATCCTAACTACTTAGTTTTGTTAGCTGTAGAAATATTACCAAATGTTTAATTCAAAATGAAAATATGACAAAAATATGACAAAATTGAAAAAATATGAGAAAATTTTACAAAATCAATATTTTCAATATTTTATTTATTTTTTTTTTTTTTTTTTGGATTGGGATGAATTAGATGCCGGATATCACTATAAGGTGCCATATAAAATAAATGCTCTTCTAACCTAATCTAAAACGCTAATTTTTAAATTGGAAAATGTTCCTCAAAATTTGCAGGCACCGCTAATTGGGGGGTTTGCTTAAAAGGCTTGAAAAATTGTAGATATTTTTTAAACAATTGTTTGTCTATTGGACCCTCGAAGAGGTATTTGTGGCTACGTCAGTCAGCGTATAGGGATTATTTACACGTCTGTGCTATTTTCAAGGTCTATTTAAATATTGGAATCTCTTTCATAATCTTAAGGGACAGGCGGACAGACAATTCGACAATTTGACTCTCTATGTCCCCAAAGTATGTTTTATGGTATGATAAACCGATGAAAAATAATTTTCCGCCACATTATGGGTGAGGTCATAAAAGAGAAATTAAATTAGGCTGCCCTTTGGATGCTCTCAATCATGGGATGGACCAAACTAAACAACTGGCAGCATTCTTTCTTAACGTTGCGAATTCAAAATTACAGCCCATTTCTTTGATTCAGGAATTTCACCCGATTTAGCGAACGCATCCGTCAAGCTACAGCAAAAATGTGCTAATAAAGAAACTTTAGAGGTAAGCCAATGATCTGAAAGTGGCAATTTGATAGATTGATTGATTGCAGCTGAAGCCCATGTTTAGCAAAGTATGGACTTTGTTTAAACATAAATTGAATAACATTGAAACTATTCGATTGTAATATTCTTAAAAATAAGCATTGAACAATAAAACTAGGGGTCAGCAACGTAGACCGGGTCCGCTAGTGGATATCTAAAACAATGTTACATCTGTTACTTGTTCCTTTAAATAAATGGTCACGTTCGATTACTCGCAACGACTGTGGACACGTTTACTGGAGGTTGATCGTTTACGCCATATTTGGTGTTTCCCATCATACCATGTCGAGAAAGACCTGCTGACCTCCTCGCAGTTATCAAATTGCAACGTAATGGAATCTTT